CCATCCCCCCACCTCCCCGGCCCTCCCACTCCCCCCCCCACTCGCCTCCCCCCACCTCCCAGGCCCTCCCATCCCCCCACTCTCCCCCCCGACCTCCCTACCCCCAAACCTCCCCCGACCCTCATGGCTCCATACGCCCGACACCTCCCATTGCTCCCAACCCCCCGGATCCCAATTTCCTGGGTCCTCCCCCCCGCATCACCTGCTGGATTCTTTCTTCTTGCTCGAGGGGCTGCTCCCCGGGCTCCCCTGCAGGCTGCCCGGGCTCCTCTCCTGGGGGGCTGGTGACCCCCCTGGCGACCCAGCCTGGCTCCTGCGCTCCCCGCCCTGCTGCGACCCCCTCCCCACGCTGGGCGGCTCACGGGGCAGTGAGGGGCTGAGGCTGGGGGGAGTGCGGCTGCGCGAGCTCTCTGGGTCATCCCGGGACGGGCTGGGGGTCCGGTAACTGCAGACACTCAAGGCATCCGGGCCCCCTTCCTCGAGGGCCAGCGATTCCAGGCTCTGGGGAGGACAACGGGATGGGTTATAGCTAGAGAACCCAGGAGTCCTGGCTTCCAGTGCCCCCCCCTGCTCTAACCACTAGCCCCCACTCCCCTCCCAGAGCCGGGGAGAGAACCCAGGCATCCGGGCTCCCAGCCCCCCCTGCTCTAACCACTAGCCCCCACTCCCCTCCCAGAGCCGGGGAGAGAACCCAGGCATCCGGGCTCCCAGCCCCCCCTGCTCTAACCACCAGCCCCCACTCCCCTCCCAGAGCCGGGGAGAGAACCCAGGCATCCGGGCTCCCAGCCCCCCCTGCTCTAACCACCAGCCCCCACTCCTCTCCCAGAGCCGGGGAGAGAACCCAGGCATCCGGGCTCCCAGCCCCCCCTGCTCTAACCACCAGCCCCCTGCGTGGAGGGGAGCAGCTGGTGATGCCTCACCCCGGTGGTGTCCTGGCTGATGCCTCGGAACAGGGGCTCCCCGAAAGCCCCGGGGTCTCCGGGCAGGGCCTGTCCCCCGGGGCTCCCCTCTGCGGGCGGCCGGAGGAGGTGGATGAGCTGCACCCACATGGCGAAGAGCTCGGCCTGGGCGTCGCCCTGGGGGCAGAGCTGCAGGTAGAACGAGCGGCCGCTGGCCAGCTTCAGCCGCAGCTGCAGCATCTCGCCGTCGTGCACCGAGATCTTCACAAACCGCAGCGGGAGCAGCCTGCAGGGACAGCAGAGCCCGCGGGTCGGGAGCCTAGGCCTGGGCTAGCAGGGCTGGGGGGGCAGGGGCTGCGGGTCGGGAGTGAGGGGCACCGGCAGGGCTGGGGGGGCAGGGGCTGCGGGTCGGGAGTGAGGGGCACCGGCAGGGCTGGGGGGGGATAGCCCAGGGCTGCGGGTTGGGAGTGAGGGGCGGGGGGGCAGGGCAGGGCTAGCGGGGGCTGCGGGTCGGGAGTGAGGGGCACCATTCATGGCGGGGGGGGCGTATCTCACCTGGTGAGCTCTAGTGCCTTGGCAGGGGGGCCCCTGCGGCCCCGGCTGTCCTCAGAGGGGACCACGGGCCGGGCCAGCAGCAGCACGTTGGGCACCAGGAGGGTGGGGCTGGTGCAGGCCACACCCACTGTGACCACTCGGACACGATTGTGCACGTCCACCACCTCCCCGCGCTTGCTGATCTGCAGGTGGGGTAGAGAGGGGCAGGTTAGTGCCTCCCCCCCACAGCCACTTGGCCCCAGCTGTTCGCTGCCCCAGAGCCCTGCCCTTCCCCTATAGCCCCGCCCCCAGCCCCCCACCCCTGGTACCTGTATGAAGTCGCTCTCGAATATGGGGGCGTACTGGAAGATCTCGTACTCGCCGGCCCGGAGCTGGCGCTGCAGTGGCCCCATGGCCGTGTTCATTAGCCCCCGCGCCTGGTCGCAATCCGCCGTGTAATACGGCAGCATGAACTCCTGGTGCATCTTCCCACCAGCCTAGAGCGGGGGGAGGGAGCCCGGACGCCTGGGTTCTCTCCCCGGCTCTGGGAGGGGAGTGGGGTCTAGTGGTTAGAGCAGTCAGGGCTGGGAGCCAGGACGCCTGGGTTCTGTTCGCAGCCTAGTGTGTGTCGGGCCCTTTGCGTGTAAGCTGAGACCCCCACCCCAGGCCTGCTGGTCCTGCACCCCAGGTGCCTCCCCCCCCCCGCCATTGTGGTAGTGGGACTGGTGGGCGTATTGCAACCAACCATTTTTGGGGGGTGGGAGGGTTGTAGCAGTGGGAAATTTCCCAGCAATCTTCAGACCCCTCCCTTATGTCCCCCCCCCCCCGCTCTGTACCCCTCCCCCAGCTCCGGGCTTTCCCATAGTCCCGCCCCCAGCTCCATTCTGCTCTCCAGCCCCGCCTCCCGAGCTCCAAGCTCCACCCCCTAGTTCCATGCCCCGCCCCCTATTGGGGGCAGTTCTCCAGCAGGGGAGGGACCAGCCCCTCTGCTCCTTTGGGGTGGGGGTGGGGGTGTCTCTGTAGTAGCCATTTTAGAGGAAGGGGAGGGGCTCGCTTCACCCCCCCATATGGGGCTGCAGCTCACCTCTGCTGCCCCTATAGGGGGCGGTCTCCAGCTCCCACTGGCCCCACCCCCTTTCCCCCTCCCTGTGCCTGGCCAGGGGAAATTATGACGTCACGCTCCTCTCTATGACACAATACCGGGGGCAGCCCATCTAGCACGTGCCACACCCAAGATGGCCCCTCACCAGCGCCCAGTGTGGCAGGGCCACACCCAAGATGGCGCACGGGACGCGCGCTCCATTGTTTCCGCCACAATCAACATGGCGTCCGCCTCCCCGCGCACCGAGTAGTCATCCGCCACACCCACTATGGCGCCCGCGCGACGGCCTTGCCCGGCCTCTCCCAAGATGGCGCTGATGTCCCGCGCTCATTCTGCCCCCCATGCAACAGCGGCTGGGTGACTAAGGTTCCAGGCTGGTTCCCTGCACTGGGGGTGGGGTGTAGGGGAATGAATGTCTCCCCCCCTCCCCCTCCAGGGTGTCTCACTGCACGCAGCTGTCCCCACCTGGGGCCAAGTGGGGCGATGGCCAAGGGGGTGCAAGGCAGGAGGGGCACTAAGTGAGCTGGGGTGGGGGGTAGGTCAGGTACTAGCAGGGCAGAGAAACTACTTTCTCTCTGCTCCCCACTTCCACAGCAGCATTTTGTGAGCGGCTCCTAGTCCCCCAGAGGCTCTGGGCGTGGAGGAGACGCTGGCGGAGGGGTTTAGCTGCATTAGGAACTGGGGAAACTTTGGGGAAGTAGAGGAAGGATGTGCTCCACCCACAGGGAACTGGATTAGTGGCACTTAAAAGGGGGTAGAACAGTTTTTAAACTAAGGGGGGGGGTAGACAGGTGCGGAGGAGCACGTGGTTCAGACAAAGACATCCCTGAGGGGAGGATCAATTAGTGGAGATTGTGTCATAAAAATACAGGTAAGATGAGAAACAGTCAAACACAAGAGTCCCATTCGGTTGCATCATGGAACGGCATTGAGCTAAAAAGTGACAAGTTTTTAAAGTGCTTATGTACAAATGCTAAAAGTCTAAGGAAGAAGATGGGTGAACGCAGGTGCCTCGTACTCAATGAGGATATTGATCTAACGGGCATCAGCGATACTTGGTGGAAGGAGGATAATCACTAGAACACAGTAAGACCAGGCTACAATATATAGCGGAAGGACAGAGCAGGTCATGGTGATAGGCGAGTGACACTGTATGTGAAACAGCATAGAATCAAATGAAGTAAAAATCTTAAATGAATCGAACTGTACCATGGAATCTCCATATTGACTATTACGACTAGAGCAGGAGGGAGATATAACTGACCACGATGGTGACTGAAATGCTCAGGAATATTAGAGTATCAGAGGGGTAGCCGTGTTAGTCTGAATCTGTAAAAAGCAGCAGAGGGTCCTATGGCACCTTTGAGACTAACAGAAGTACTGGGAGCATAAGCTTTCGTGGGTAAGAACCTCACTTCTTCAGCTGCAAGGAATATTAGAGAGGCTCTTAAAATAAAAAACTCAATAACAGGGGATTTCAACTACGCCCCTAGTGACTGGGTACATGCCACCTCAGGACAGGATGCAGACAGTTTCTTGACAACTTAAATGACAGCTCCTTGGAGCAGCTACTCCTGGAAGGCACCAGAGGAGGCAGTTCTTGATTTAGGCAATAAGTGGAGCACAGGATCTGGTCCAAGAGGTGAATAGAGCTGGACCGCTTGGTAATAGTGACCGTAATATAATTAGATTTAACATCCCTGTGGCAGGATAAACACCACAGCAGCCCAACATTGTTGTATTTAATTTCAGAAAGGGGAACTACACAACAATGAGGAGTTTAGTGACACAGAAATTAAAAGGTACTGCGCCAACAGTGGAATCCCTGCAAGCTGCATAGAAACTTTGTAAAGACACCATAAGGGAGACTCAACTTAAATATATCCCCCAAATTAAAAAACACAGGAAGAGAACCAAACAAGAGCCACCGTGATTAAACAGCAAAGTAAAAGACACAGTGAGAGGCCAAAAGGCCTCATTTAAAAAGTGGAAGTTAAATCCTAGTGAGGAAAAGAGAGAGAGACTCAACTCTGGCAAATGAAGTGTAAATATACAATGAGGAAGGCCAAAAAATAATTTGAGGAACAATTAGCCAAAGACTCAAAACAATTTTGCTATTACTTTTTAAGTACATTAGAAGCTGCTAAACAACCAGTGGGGCCACTGGACGATTGAAGTGCTAAAGGAGCACCCAAGGACGATAAGGCCATTGTGGAGAAACTAAGTGAATTCTTTGCATCAGTCTTCACAGCTGAGGCTTCCCAGACTTGAGCCATTCTTTTTAGGTGACAAATGTGAGGAACTGTCCTAGATTGAGGTGTCAGAGGAGGTTTTGGAACAAATTGATAAACTAAACAGTACTAAGTCACCAGGCCCAGATGGTATCACTCAAGAGTTCTGAAGGAACTCAAAAACGAAACTGCAGGACTACCAACTGTTTGTCATCTATCATTTAGATCAGCTTCTGTACCAAATGACTGGAGGATAGCTAATGTGACACCAATTTTTAAAAAGGGCTCCAGAGGTGATCCCGGCAATTACAGGCCGGTGAGCCTGACTTCAGTACCGGGCAAACTGGTTGAAACTGGAGTAAACAACAAAATCGTCAGATACAGAGATGAACATAACTTGGGGAAAAGTCAACATGATTTTAGTAAAGGAAAATCATACCTAGCCAATCTACTAGAATTCTTTGAGGGGGCCAACAAGCCTGTGGAGAAGGAGGATCCAGTAGATATAGTGTACTTAGGTTTTCAGAAAGCCTTCGACAAGGTCCCTCACCAAAGGTTCTTAAGTCAAGTAAGTGGTCATAGGATAAGAGGGAAGATCCTCTCATGGATCGGTAACTGGTTAAAAGATAGGAAACAAAGGGTAGGAATAAATGGTCAGTTTTCAGAATGGAGAGAGGTAAATAGTGGTGTCCCCCAGGGGTCTGTACTGGGACCAGTCCTTTTCATATATTCATAAATGATCTGGAAAAAGGGATGACCAAGGAGGTGCCAAAATTTGCAGATGCTACAAAACCATTCAAGATAGTTAAGTCCCAGGCAGACTGCAAAGAGCTACACAAGGATCTCTCAAAACTGGGTGACTGGGCATCAAAATGGCAGATGAAATTCAATGTTGATAAATGCAAAGTGATGCACATTGGAAAACAGAATCCCAACTCTACATATACAATGATGGGGTCTAAATTAGCTGTTACCACTCAAGAAAGATCTTGGAGTCATTGTGGAGAGTTCGCTGAAAACATCCACTCAATGTGCAGCGGCAGTCAAAAAATCCAACAGAATGTTGGGCCTCATTAAGATAAGGATAGATAAGACAGAAAATATCATATTGCCGCTATATAAATCCATGGTTTGCCCACATCTTGAATTCTGCATGCAGATGTGGTCGCCCAGTCTCAAAAAAGATATTGGAATAGGAAAAGGTTCAGAAAAGGGCAAAAAAAGAAGAGATGAATAAGACTGGGACTTTTCAGCTTGGAAAAGAGACAGCTAAGGGGAGATATAATTGAGGTCTACAAAATCACGACGGGTGTGGAGAAAGTCAATAAGGAAGTGTTATTTACTCCTCATAACACAAGAACTAGGGGTCACCCAATGAAATTAATAGGCAGCAGGTTTAAAACAAACAAAAGGAAGTATTTTTTCACCCAACGCACAGTCAACTTGTGGAACTCCTTGCCAGAGGATGTTGTGAAGGCCAAGACTATAACAGATTTCAAAAAGAACTAGATAAGTTCACGGAGGATAGGTCCATCAATGGCTATTAGCCAGGCTGGAGAGGGATGATGTCCCTAGCCTCTGTTTGCCAGAAGCTGGGAACAAGCGACAGGGGACCGATCACTCGATAATTGCCCTGTTCTGTTCATTCCCTCTGGGGCACCTGGCATTGGCCACTGTCGGAAGACAGGACACTGGGCTAGATGGACCTTTGGTCTGACCCAGTCTGGCCGTTCTAATGTCTTAGGCCTTGTCCAAACCTCGCAGCACTAAAAGTTAGCGGGAGCTTCGGTCCATGTGATTTGCAGCCAGCCCAGTGACAGCTACCCCTGGTGCTTTGACAGTGCCACTTTCCCAATGCTGAAAAAAGTGATGAGCCCAGGCAGCTGGGAGGAAGAATTTAACCACAAAAATGTGACTAGAATTGGGAACCATTTAAGGACAATGTACTAGATGCCCTAAAAGCCATAATCTCCCCCTTGACAAAGATTGAGTGGGGATGTGAAAGGAGTTATTTATACACACACACACGGAAGAAAGGGGAAGTTGACAGCAATGAATATAAACCAGAAGTTATGAATTGTAGAAAACTGATGAGGGAAGCTAAGAGACACAAGGAGCCAACGGAATTAAGGACAAAAAGGAGTATTGCATACATATATATCAGGAACAAAAATAATCCTGACACTGGTATAAGTTCATTACTAGATGGAAACAGTAGAATTATCAATTTTAATGCAGAAAGGCAGCTGTGTTAAATAAATATTTCTTTTCTGTGTTTGGGAGGACAACAGATGATACAGTCATATGGTGACTAGAACACTTTCCATTCCACTAATATCTCTAGAGGATGTTCAGCAGAAGCTACTAAAGTTAGACATTTTAAAAATCAGCAAATCCAAGTAACTTGCATCCAAGAGTTTTACAAGAGCTGGCCGAAGAGCTCGCTGGTCCATTAACGCTGATTTCCAGTAAGTCTTGGCATGCTGGCAAAGTTCCAGAAGACTGGAAGAACTATGCCGATATTTAAAGAGGGTGCATGATGTGGCATCAGCCCCGCACAAGATAATGGAGAGGTTGGAACAGGACTCGGTTAATAAGGAATTAAAGGAGGGTAATGTTAATCAAGATGGGCTTATCAAAATTCAATCCTGTCAAACTTGGTATGTTGATGAGATTACAAGTTGAGTTGACAGAGGTAATAGTGCTGACGTAATAGGCTTTGGGGAGGCATTTGAGTTGGTACCGCACGACATCTTCATTAAAAACCTCAAAATGATGTCGTATGAACCCAGCCCACATGAAATAGATAAAAAACTGGCTAACTGATAGGTCTAAGCAGGGAATCGTCATCAAGTGGGTCTTCTTCAGGGGGGTCCCACAGGGATTGGTGCTTGGCCCAACACCATGTATCATCATCAATGACTTGGCAGAAAACAATCCGCACTGATAGAATTTGCAGACAACACAAGCGTTGCAGGAGTGGGAAATCGTGCAGAGGGCAGGTCACTGCTCCAGAGCCAGCTGGCAAACTGGGTGCAAAGTGCTTTAATACGGCGAAATGGAAACAGGTCCATCGAGGACGCCGGGCATGCGTACAGGCTGGGGGGGGCTCTCCCCTGGAAAGCAGCGACTCCTAGACAGATTTGGGGGTCGTGGTGGAGCTTGCAGTGCAAAGCCGGAAGCGGAAGTGAGACAAACAGCCTAGGAAGGAGGCGTCACCGGCTGGCACGTGCGACCCAGGGGCGTGGGGCAGTCTCGCCCATCACCACCCGGTGTGTTTCTAACAGCCGCTCTAGGCCGTTCTCTGGGCCGGGTCACACAGGCCCCTCCGGTTTTGGGGCCCATGAACTCTCCACCCCCCAGCGGCGGCGCCGGACGAAGACACGACAGCCGAGTTTCTTACCAAGAGTGCGCTTTTATTTTTTAATTTTTTTTTGTCTTTTTCTTCTTTTGGAAGGGGGAGGGATTTATTTTCTTAAACCTCAGGGTGTCTCCCCCCCCCCTTGTTTTCCCCTCCCCCTCCGCGGGGGCCCAACGGGGTGGGGGCGGGGGCAGAAGGGGGCTGGGGCAAGGGGAAGGATCGAGAAACCAAAGCAGATTGTATCGTCGTCTCGTCTGTCCGGCTCACGTCAACACATTCCAAGCACAACTTAAGAAATGCAAACGAAACCAAAAAAAATATATATATATTTATATATATCATTTGTCTTCTCTCCGGACGCGTGGGGTGTGTGTGTGTGTGTGTGTGTGTGGTGGGAGGGGGGGGG